TGACCAGCGCAGGGCTGGACCGGGCCGGACTGTTGCCCACGGGTTCCAGGCGTTTCTGTCGATGCGAAGGTTGCCTGGCTCTTTTGCTGACCCCCGCCTCAGGCCCTCTCGTCAACTTGCTCCTTCGGACTTTGCGCTTGAACGGTCGGACTTGGGGCCCACGTGTGAGCCATGGGTGCGTTTCCATGACGTTTGTCTTGTGAGAATCAGCCAGGCAGTCGCGCCTGTTCAAAAAGGTTCTCCTTCCCGCCCCCGCCGGGGGCCTGCGGGTGTCGCCTCTAGAATTGATAAGCTTCGATTCCATCGCTCACGGACTTGACGCGAGGGGAGAGCCTGTCAGCACCCCAGACGCTGTTTACTCGTACTTCAGGTGCAGTTCTAGCAAGCTGCTGTGTGGGGGTGCCAGCCAGTCCAGGGCAGCGTAGAAGCTGGAGGAGGAGAGGGTGGGGTGCCGTCGGAAATGCGTGCAGGCGGAAAGTCGCAGCCAGGGAGGAGGACACGAGAAGCTATAAAAAGTAGACTAAAAAAACTCCAAATTATATTCCGGGGTCATTCAGTTTAGAGGGACTCTGGTCCTATACATATCTTCCCCACCCCCCAACCTCTTAAAAGCCCTTAGAAATTTCTTACGTGAGAGTCTTAAAGATAATCCAGCAGTTTCCAAAAAAGATCAAATTATATCTATTCTCCGTGCTCTCAGAGGACAGAGAAATAATTAACTTTACATACGAAAGAGGAAGCTTTAATTACCCGGAATGTCTCCTCTCTCGCCGTGCCAGCTAATGGGAACCCTCCTACGTCTGTTTTTATGTTTCAAAGGAAAAACACGCTAACCCCTGTCACCCTTTGGAGCAAGGCCAGAGCCGCTTCCTTGTGGCTGCAGAGGTCAGGGGACGTCCTCGGAGGAAGGAGGAACCGGACCTGGGCTGGGGAAAGGGGGTGGGGTGGGGGGGAGGCGTGCGTTTGAGGAAGAAGAACCTCTGTGAGCACAGTTACGGCCCCGGACCTGGGCGCGGGCACCTGGGGGGCAGGGACCTGGCAGCCGTGCGGGAGCGGGAGCTGCTGGCTGTCCCCGAGCCCGCAGAGCCCGCAGAGGAGGAGCCGGGCCTCAGGCATCTGTCTGCCCCGGTGTGGATCTTCGTGTGGATCTTCGCTGCTCTGCTTATGAGCTGCGTGGCCTTAGGCAAGTTGTCTAACCTCTCGGAGACTCAGTTTGCCCATCAGCAAGTGGGGGTGGGAGCAGGCCTCGGCGTTGAGATGGCGAGACAGCGTGAGAGGGTGTGTGCAGAGGGTGTGAACCGCCTGGGACACGTGCTGGCCGTCAGCGTCCACGCCGGTCAACGTCATGTCCGTAGCCAAGCCCCGTTTGAGCCCGTTTTCTTCACTTCTTACCTTGTTTGGTTAAAGGTCTTTGAAGTCACACATGGTCCCAGGAACGGAAGTCATATTATGGCGGGTTCCGGCCAAGAACGTGGTGTGCGTGAGGCTGTCGGAGGCCTGATAGGGGGCAGAAGCTGGTCATCGCCAGCAGAGGCACCAGCTCGTGACCTGAGAAGGGGCGGCTTTGAGTCCCGTCATCCCTGGAGGCTGGCAGGCTCACTGGCGTGACTTGTGTCTCGAGGGGTGTGACGTCTGTGTGCCGGTGACCTGGGAACCACGTGTGCTAGGCGCGCACACATCCTCCGGACTCCCCACGGGCATCGCGATTTCTAGGGGATCCGCAACACCCTCACAACAAAGCCCAGTAACTGGAGGGCCTGGGTCTTCGTCACAGCCACCTCTGCGTGACCGTCCACTGCAGAGAGGCCCGTGAGGACTGGCCATGGGCGGGTCCCAGTGGCACATACGTTGCTTTGGCCGTGTCACGCCTTAGTGGCCCTGAGTGGGCGGCATGATGCCTCTTGCACAGTGAAGGAGCCGGAGGTCACTCGGGGTGATCATCCATCTGACGTAGAGCCCCAGGTTTGGGCGCTCACAGCCTCTGACTGTGGCCTTTGTCGCTGCTCCCCCTCCTGGGGTGAAGGGTGCCCTGGAGTCTCCTTTAAGGGGTGAGAAGGCAGGAGGACTCCGTGGGCCTGGCACTGCCCTGCTGCCCATGGTCGGGGGCCTTTCTCCGGCGGTCAGGGAGGGGTCTGCCTCTGCTGACAAACAGGCCCACCCGGGGCCGGCTCTGCGCGCCGGGGCCGCAGAGGGCGGGAGAGGACGGGCCTTGTGTCTGCTGGGCGCTGCGGGAGGCCCCATGGTGTCCACCCCACCGTTCCTGTCCTCTGCCCCGTGGGGCTTCTGTGGGGCCGGGGCGGCTATGGTTTCCCCGAGTGCTGGAAGCAGCTGCCATAGGGCGGCCTGTCCAGCTCTGGGAGCAGGATCTGAAGCCCAGGATGCTCAGAACTCTCTGGTCTCCCGTTAGCGGGTGGGGCGGGGCTTAGAGGTGGCGGTAGAGGAGCTGGTGGGGTGTCGAGGACTCACTGCCAGTTGTTGCAAGGACTTGGGCTCCTGAGCTGTGGTGCTGAAGGTGATCTCTCGGCCTTATCCTGAAGGTCTCTGTTCAGATGTTTTATGTTTTTATCCTCTCGCATGACTCCAGGAGAAACCGCCCAGCGGCGCTGTGGCACCCGCCCCAGAGGGCCTGGCTCAGGGTGCAGTAGGCTGATTGAATGGGTGCTTGGGTGGGGGACGCTCATCCGGGTTTTACTGATGATCGCCGGTTATCAGATGGTGTGAGCCGGTGTCTCCGGGCCCAAAAATAGATGTTGGGGTGCGATTTGCCCCATTCCTCTTCTCGTATCTTCCAAGACAGACGGCGGGACAGTCACGGCTGCTCAGATCTCTCCCTGCCTGGCTGGGACACCCCTGTGGCCGTCCCCAGGGGCGGGAAGAGCTCAGCCCGTGGCATCTGAGATCCAGATTCAAACCCAGCTCGTCGCTGCATAGTGCGGAGTCCGTTCGCCCCTCTGCGTTCCGGTCGCTCTGTGTGCCGTGGGCTTTCGTGTCTGTTGGCGAACACGCGGAGCGGGATCGCTGGGTCGTGTGGAAGTTCTGCCTTTGCCCCTGAGAAAAACTGCCGAACTCTTTTCCCGCCGGCAGCGTGTGAGGACTCGTTTCTCCACGTCCTCACCAGCACTTGGCACTGTCTGTTTCACGATGGCCATCCTAGCGGGGTGAACGGGGTGCGCCTGCAGCTTTGATTCGCATTTCCCTGAAGACCGTTGATGTCAAACATCTTTACGTGCTTTGTCAGCCGTATGTGTATCTTCTCCGGTGAAGGCCAGTTTCCATCTTTTGCCCATTTTTAAATCGGATTACTTGTCTTCTAATCCATTGGAAAGACTTGTTTATATATTCTGGATTCAAGTCTTTTGTTGGATATATGATTTGTTGAGATTTCCTTCTAGTTTCTGCTTTTTGTTTTCACTTATTGATGATGTCCTTGGGAGTGCAAAGGTTTTAATTTCGATGATGCCCAGTTTATAAATTTTTTTTTATTGTTTGTGCTTTGGGTGTTGTCTAAGAAATCTTTGCCCAACCCCACTTCTTGAAGCTATACTTCTTTTTCCTTCTAGGTATCTATAGTTTTAGACCTTATGGAAAGGCCTACAATCCATTTTGAGTTAAGTTTTGTATATGGTGAGATTAGGGTCTAAATTCATCTTTTTTGCATGTGGATAGCCACCTGTCCCAGCACCATTTGTTAGGGGGGATAATCCTACACTTTTCCCCGCCGAGTTGCCATGGCACCTTTGTCTAAAGTCTCACCCCTTGTGTTCGATGTGCTGACTTTTCTCTCTCCTTGTGTCCATCGGTGGGGGGCAGACCGGTAGAGCAGAATATTAAACACTATTCTAAGTGCATAATGCATGGTCAGATTGACCAACACTGGCGGAGCAACCAGCCGAGGCCCGAACAACAGAGGGGCCTGACTGTGCCCCCTGCCAGCTGTGTGATCCAGGTCAAGGTTCTTTAAAAAAAAAAAATCCTGCCTCAGTTTCCCCACCTGTGACCCCAGGGTGATAATAGCTTCTCACCTCTAAGAGTGCCCAGCGGGGAGCCGCAGGGTTAGCGTGGCAGCGGTTCGTGGCCGTCGTGCAGTTTGCTGATGGCCACAGAACCTGGGCTTCCGCGGCTCAGCCTGGCTCCGCCCAGACTAACGGGGGAGCAGGGAGGGGCAGTTGAGGGGCACACCGTGCAGACTGCAGCTGTCCGGGAAGCAGCTCCGATAGCCCACGGTCTGGCTGCCTCTGACGTCAGCCGCGAGTGGCACCTCCTTGCCTAGGCGGGCCTGGCAGGCACGGGTCCGTCCTGATGCCAGAGACCCCTCTGATGACTACACGAGGGAAGAGCCGGGAATCATGAGAGAGAAATAACACCAGCTCATCCGCTTCTCTGATCCGTTTGCATTGGATCCTAGCACTAAACATGCACACCCGCAAACTCACCTGCGTGTGTGCGCGCACGTGCACACACACGTGCACACGCACACACGCGTGCACACGCACACACGCGTGCACACGCACACACACACCCCTCCCCTGCGCTCGCCCCCTCACTGCCCCCTGCCACCCCCACACACCCTGCCTGGCAGGCTCCTCCTCCACCCCATCCTCCCTTCTTTGTAAGTAGCTCTCCCTCCCTCTGGAGGGCCAGTCACTTGCACCTGTCCACGGCCACCTGAATCCCATTATGTCTCTTAGGGCGGGGTTCTCAGCCTTGGTGCTGTTGGCATTTGAGCGGGACCACTTTGCCAGGTTGCGGGCCTAGGGCCGTCCCCTGTATGGCGGGGTATCCAACTGCATCCCTGGCCTCCCCGCCCAACTAGATGCCAGTAGCCCCTCCAGTTGTGACAGTGAAAAGTGTCTCCAGACACTGCCACGTGTTCCCTGGGAAGCAAAGCACGCCCCACTGAGAACGGCTGCCCTACAGGATCTTGGCAAAGGTGCGGGACAGAAGTCGGGAGACAGACTGGGCCCTGGGGGGGCGGGCGGAGGGAGAGAGCCGGAGGGACACGCTGGAGTTTGTCCGCCCGTGCGCCTCGTCCCCAGGGCCTCGCTCACTCTCCAGGCTCTGGCGTGTGTCCTCCTGCTCTTGTAGGCTTGACGCGGCGTAGCTGTGGCATCTGTGGCGCCTCGGCCCCCGGTCCCCCTGACCCTCCACTCCTGGCCCCCGCCAGCTTCCCTCCGAAGCCCTGTCTGCAGAGGTCTCCAGCATGAAAAGAAACGAGAGAGCCTCTCGCCTGTGTCCTGGTCCTGACGACGAAACCTTGCTTTTGAGGCAGAAACACAGATTGCTGCAAGTCAGAGGGAAAGGGGACCTTCCCGTGCAGAGCAGACCGGACCCCCGGCAGTGGGACAGCCCACAGCTTCAGCTCCTGGCCGAGGACCTGTGGGCCGAGTGGCGGGAGGCCCCGAGGCAGCAAGCCCAGGGCCTGGGAAGGCTGTATTTGACCCATCTGTTAGGTGCCGGGGGAGGACGGGCCCAAGAACAGGAACCCGGTTCGGAGGGGCCGGCCTGGCGAGCAGCAGCCTGGCCGCCTCGGGCCGGGGGGAAGCAGAGGGCCGCGGGCAGAGAGGAGAAGAGTCGCAGAGAAGAGCCGGTCAGACTGCAGTCCTGGTGCGCCAAGCCCCAGCGGGGAGCGGCGGGCCCCGAGAAGAAGGGGTTCGCCAAAGCCGTGGGCCTTCCGCACCCTCCTTCGAGCCCCCCGGAGAAGAGCAAAGGCAAACGAGCGCCTTCGAGGAAGACCAGCGGCGGCCGCCGTCCCGCTGACCCTCGGGCGAGCAGGAGCCTGGACGTGGGGAAGCTCTGTGCGCCGGAGAGGTCCGCCGCGGGGGAGATCGCGCTCACGGAGGGCAGCGGGGAGGATGTCGGCAGCGGCGGGCGGAGGCAGCTGGGGCGGAGGACGGCTCGCCTGGTCCAAGGACTGAAAAACAACTGTCTGGGTCTGAGTCCCGGGGGCCAAGCCGACGACCTGCAACAGCTGCGGCCGGCCGACTCGATCTGCACAACGGACGCCGCGCCCCAGGAGTCACCGTGCCAGCGCGGTGACAAGAGCCAGTGGAAGAGGGAGCTGGAGTTTGCCTTCGAAGAGTTGTTTAATACAAACAGAAAGCTGAAGAGTCACCTGAGCCTACACCTGGAGCCCAGGCCGGCGGCGGGTCCGAACCCCGGCGAAGAACAGGGCTTCTCAGAGGGACCGGAGCACAGAGGCACCGCCTGGAGGGAGAAGGCGGCGGTGGCGGCGGACGCGGACATGGAGGTGCTGCCATCCGGGGAGGCCGCGGGTCCGGCGGCGGTGAACGCCCTCCAGACGTCGCCCGAAGCCAGTCTGCAAAAGCTGCTGAGCAGGCTCGGGAGCCAGAAGTACCCGAGGGTGGTCAGATCCACGTTGAGGGACGTGAGCAGACTGGCGTCTCCCGAGGCGGGCACGTGCGTGGACGAGCACCTCGACCCATGCGGCACAGACTCCAGGCTCGAGGCCCCCGGGCTGGACGCGCTGTCCCGACTGCTTCGCCCGCAAGAACAGGCAGACAGAGCTGGCTCGATGGCATCAAGGCAGAAGCAGAAGATGGAGACGGAACAGCGAAGACGAACGCAGCTGGCACTGCTCGCACTGACCGGACACCCAGACGTGGGCTCGGAAGCCCGCCGCCAGCCCGGCCTGGGGGAGGAGAGGGCGGAGCAGGCGAGGGCCCGGTGGGCTCCTCCCGAGGCCTCCTGCTCGGACCAGGAGGAAGAAGGACGTGAGCTCAGTCCCACGCCCCCCGCGGCCGCCAGCATCTCCGACGATGACGGGCACAGTCAGATGATCCGTAACCTTCAACAGCAGATTTTAGAGCAAAACAGGTTGCACAAGCAGTTTCTCGAAGAAGCCAGGAAGCGCTTGCAAGAGTTTCAGAGAATATGATAAATGCGCGCGTATCAGCCATGATAAATACACCGCTGACGAGTGGGCGTGATGCCGGTACTGGTTCCGAAGTCTGAGATCTGTGTCTGCGTCGTCTGCTCGGAAACCCGTAGGCCCCTTCGCACGCCGCCCCTCCCCCGCCCCGCCCCGCGTGCCTTTCGGATGAAGTCCCACTCGGGGAGGCTCCTTCGCCCAGCACCCGTGTGGGCACGGTGACGGGTCTGGCCAGTGCGGCCCAGAGGCGTGTCCCACAAGCGTAGACGGGAAGTCCAGGTAAATTCAGCCCTTCCGATGTCTTGGGCGGATAAACACTGGACTTTCAGGGGCGCCCGAGGTCAGACAGGCACGGTTTCAAAAGATACATCATCTGTTGTGTAGCCGCTGGGTGAGGCATTAATGGGACTAAAACCTCCCTGAGTCTTTGAAACTGACAAAACCAGCATGGCTTAACGGACATCACTTAGTAATATTCTCGTAATTTTTATGTTAATGAGCGGGGGAGGGGGAGAGTAAGGGAGAGAAGAGGGGAGAGAGAGGGAGGGAGACAGAGAAGGGAGATGGCTCCCAGGCACCTAGCCACGGTAGGTGGCCCTCTGGAGCTGGCAGCGGTGGGTGGTCCGAGGTGTCTGATTAGTCTACTTCCAGCTCTACCTCTGACCCAGCAGCCTCGGCAGCTATGGTGACCCCACACCGGGTAGGGCTTTATCCGCCAATGGCATCCTTGGGGACTGGACAAAGCTTTTCTGCAAAGAGCCACATAGTAAATATCTTACTGGCTCTGCGGGCTACAGTCTCTGTGACAACACCGTGAGTGGGTGTGGCCGGGTTCCAATAAGACTTTATTTATAAAAACGGTTGGGGGCTGGACTTGGCCCTGAACCACAGTCAGCTGACCGCTGGACCAGCATGGTTCCCCCCCCGCCCCCTCTCCCCCTTCCAGGGATCTCAGACATGCTGGGTTGGGTCAGCCACCCGCAGTCATGGGACATTCGCATTGCTGGTACATGAATGACCTTTTTTATCTTAGGGCGTATTTTGTAAACGATATAAGGAACCACCGTGACGCCACGATCGGGAATGTTTGCTGAAAACCGGCTTCTGTCTATTACTTCCCTTTCCTGTGCACTGTTCCCCCTTACTCTGTGCCTGCTGGCCGTGGGGCTCACCCCTGCATTTCATTACATAGATACAGACACTCTGAACGCTGCTGTTCAGTTTGAACTTTATAAAAAGGGTGCTCTAGTGTGTGAGTTCTTTGGGAAGCTTTTCTTGGACTCAGCATCTCGAATGCATCCGTGTCGCAGATGGGCGCCATTTATTTCACCGTCATATCATCATGTGACTCGGCGAGCCTTCTTCCTGGGCTCATGCTCCTTCTCTGTTTTATATCTGTTCCCAGAAAGAGAACCACACCCCTAATCCATCTGGATCAAAGGGCCGGGTGTCCAGATGGGCTTCTGGAAGCCTCGAACACCAAACTGGGACATAGACGTGGGAAAGGCCCCGTTATTCCTTTTCTTCCCGTTTTTACCTTTTTTTTTTTTTGGTCCTGGAAAATGTTGACTTGATCTTACACTGTTTTTCCTTTACAAACACGGAGGGACAGACGGTGCCCCAGTTACTGGAGATGAGCAGCGAGTGATGCACGTGGGGGTCACAGGACTTAGGGCCCAGTGGGGAGGACGCAGGTAAGAAGTAAACGTCCCCTGAGATGACAGGATGGGATGTGCAGGGAGACGTGGGTGACAGCAGTGGCAGGCATGTCCCCGAGGAACCCAAGGCCGGCTTCCCTGAGGGCACCTGCTCCCAGGAGCCCCAGACGTGCCCATGAGCATGGCACAGAGGCAGGTTTTCTTTTTAAATCCATAGCTTGGGTGAAGAATCTTCCATCATCTCAAGTTTTATCGTGCAAGTCTCCACTGTCTGTGGCTTTCCCACTTGACGTAGAGAAAAACGTTTGCTCCCAGCCCGGTATCTTTCTGGCACCTGCTTCTGAATGGCATGGGGCAGGGCTGCACACTCACCTAACAGTTTGGTCTCAGCCCAGCGTGATTAAGAGGCAGGTCCTGGCCACAGGAGGGCTGTTACATGAGGATTACCTGCGGGGGAGGATGCTGGCTTTTGTGGGTGCTCTCAGCCTTCCGTGTGCTTCGAGATCACCCGCAGCTCCTGCAGGAGCACCTCCGTCTGAGAGGGTCCCGTGGGATCCCCAGGCTTGCAGCCGTGGCTATGATGGGACCCACACATTGGGTAACGAGGCCGCCCTGACTCGGCCCGGAGGCCACAGTCTAGTGAGTGGAAGAGTCCGCCGCTGAGTGGGTTACTTTTGTTTCCAGTTTCAGAGGTGACATTCGTGGCCCCTGAGCTCTAAGTGAGGGACTGCCCTTTCCTGGCAATACTCGGGCTAAAAGTAGGTGTGAGGGCCGGGCCGCGAGACACAGTGCAGAGTGACTCATCTCTGCCCGGACAGTCACACCTACACTGTCCCCTGCAGCAGCGCGAGAGACACCCTGCCCTTTGCCACCTGTCCTGCAGAAGGCCAAAGGGGGAAGGGGCACTTCCGATGAAATGGCCCTCCAGGACACCTGCTCCCCCCCAAATAGGGCCCTCCAGATATTCTCTGTGGACGTGTCCCAGGCGACTTCCATCTCTCAGTGAGATCCCAAGGGCAGACCCTGTCTTGGTCACTTCGATGCAGCTCGACCGCGGTGCCAGGGACCCTGGGCAGCGCTGCTAGGTGACAGTGGGGACCCCGACGCTGGCCGTGTGTGTCCTCATCCTCCTAACGCACTTCTCAGGCCCTCCCCCATGAGCCCTCCCTCCTGGGTTTTCTAGAACTTTCCATGTGTTTCTTTTGTTTTCGCTTCTGCTTCCACATTTGGGGGCAGCTGCCCAGTTCCCGTCTCACTCTGCATTTGCCAGAACTTTCGTCATCTGGTCACTTCCTTGCAGCCCTGCCTGTGAGCCTCCTTCCCAGATCACACGGACTTGGGAAGGCTTCCACGGCCGACGGATGGGGCCAGGTCACCCTGATAGTCCCAGGGGTTTGCAGGGAGCAGCAGGGTTGGATGCGGGTGCTCCCGAGGCCCCCTCTCCGCAGGTACAGAGCAGCGGGTTCGACAGGTGGCTGGGCGAGGGCAGCGGGAGCAGTGGTGGACCCCAGGACGCAGGCCCGCCCCTGCGCTCGCCAGGTTAGCGGGCCTCGTTGGTTTCGGACAGGACCCCGCACTCCTTGTGCGCTGCCCCGCGGGTCCTCACACCTGTCCTTTCTCCTGCCCAGCCAGGTTGCACGGCCATAATGTGTGTGGTAACATCCAGAACCTGGGAAACGTAAGACGATGGAAAAACAAGATTTTCAAAGTTGGTGGGAGACGGGGGTCCTCCCTGGCCTGCAGGAGTTCTTCCCATGAGTGAGAAGTGGCCACCAGGTGTGGGCGGCATCTGGCCTTCACTTGCTCCCTCTGTGACGAGAGGACGAGCTGACTCGGGTCTTGTCGGGTCCTGTCACAGCCCCGGCCACGGGCCCCGTCACGGGCCAGAGACGGTGCGAACTGTGCACAGCACCACACATCCCCGGCTCCCGGGGCCTTATGTGCAAGGCTGCGCCAACGAGGACGGGGAAGCCACAGGGCTCATGCCCTCCAGCGCGCCCACACTGGGTTCTCTCCGTTTTAGGACACTGGGGTTCCAGCCTTTGCACCCCTCCTTCTGCTTCCTGAGAAGTGCAGCGGGTCAGGGCGTAGCCCACCGGCCTCAGAGTCCCAGCTGTTTGTGCTGATGAGGCCTGAGCCATGGGCCAGGAACCTTGTGTGTCCACTCCCAAAAACAAGGTGACCTGGAGAACAGACCAGACTGAGGTCCCAGCCCGCCAGCCACAGCGTGGGGACAGGCCCCTGGCCTGCTGGCCCTCGGCTCCGAGCCATCCACCCAGCCCGTCTGGGCCCCATCCTCGGCCTGCTGGGTGGGGAGGGGTGGCAGGGGGTGGCTGAGTAACCCTCCGGTGCCTCCCCAGGCCCCCGCGCCCTCTCTGCCCCGCGCTGCCCCTGCCCGCCGGGCTCCGGGCTTGGCGTTCGCCGTGCTCGGCGCGGCTCCTCCCGGGGGTCTTGGCCGAGAAAGTGCCGAGCAGCAGTTCCCTCCACAAAGCCGCTCTGTTCTCGGCAAACCCTCCCGACCAGCTGCATTTTTTTCACATGATTCAGCAGCACGTGAATGGGAAGGGCTGAGCCCAAGGCTTGGGGAACGTGACCAAGGCCTCTGGCATGAGATCCCATGGGGCCTGCATGGCGGAGGGAGGCGGGCGGCGGGGCTGGGGTCGGGGTAGTACCAGGGTCCTGGGGGGTCGGGGAAGGCAGCTGGCAGCTGGGCGGTGGTGCCGTGGCTTTTCTCTGCACAGCCAGGCTCTCTCAGAGGAGACGGTTCCCTCCTGCTCCAGAGGGAGGGGCGGCAAAGCAAAAGGACAGGAAATGGAGATGGGAGAGCCGGTCTCCATGGAGACGGGCATCCAGTGGACAACGGCTCACGTGTATGTGCTAGAATGTTGAACGGCACTGGGCAGACCTGGCAAACCCCCAGGTACCAGGCTCAGGGACAGCATGGCCCGGGGCTGCCGCTTCCTGTTCTCCATCCTGCACCCCATCGTTCCCCCGCCCCATGCTCGGGCCCTCAGAACACATCTCCTCTGAGTAGTTGTCACTCCAGGCATTTCTAACCCTGGCCTGAGTCACGCTGGCCAAGTCTCGCTCTACCCTAGACCGGCACAGCCCTGCTGCCCCAGGGCTGGGGACATCGGTGGGCTCCTGGGGCTGGGGAGGCTTGGAGGGACCCAGAGGTGGATCTGGACTCTCACAGCTGCTGCAGAAAACGCGAGAAGCCCTGGGTTCCCCCAGCAGCACAGGGCTGTTTTTAATTACTAAATGACGGCCCCCTTTTCTTCTTATTTCCCTAAAAGGAGCAGACTTGGAAGACGGCTGCTCCACTGCTGACCGAAAGGGGCCAGGCGCTGAGGCCAGGGAGGGCAGGGCCGGGCGCTCGGGGCCA